TGCCTTGCTCGCTTACGATGCGTTTGTCGAGTGAGTTACTCGCTCGAAGGGACCTCGCTCTTGAGGGGGGAGTAGTGTGATGACCCGTCCATACATGGACTGAAACACAGCTGATTTATGAGTTTTCCCCATAGACTGAATGCCCTGCTGAGTTTCCCGCTTGCTACCAAGTCTATGTGTGCACGCTTGCTGGATCTATGTGTGCCCGCTTGCTGGACTGCATGTCTGTCTGAGTGCTGGATGGCTTGAGTGTGTGTGTGACCATGCCTGTCTGAGTGTTGTTTGGCCTGGGTGTGTGTGTGTGTGACCGTGCCTGTCTGAGTGCTGGTTGGCACGAGTATGTGTGTGGCCCGTCAGGGCACTTGCTCGTTCGTTGGGCCGCCAAGGTCGGTACTTACCTGTGGCCGTGACATTGAGGGGTTGCAGCGGGGAAAAACACTCAAGTAGCGGGTAGGCCGGTACCGCACCTGGAAGGGGTAGATGTGCAGGTACCAGAGGCCGAGCAGAAGAAGACAAAAGTGGCATTTTTAGAGGCCTAGTAGATGTAGGTTAGGTCTAGGCGGAGATCAGTCCAACCAGTCTGGGTCTAGGGCCTGTACGGGCAATATCAGAGTCTGCAATGAAGTTTCCCTCCGAAAGGGAGGAGGTACCAGTTGCTTGGGAGGCCGAGCGGCCTGGAAGTCACCGCCCAAGAGGCAAAGCAGGCCGCTATATCTTCTGGCCGGGCGGAGAGTCCAGCCTCTTTTTCGGTGTGCAAGTTTGGTGACACACTGGTGGAGCGCTGGCTGGAGCAGCGCTGCTGGGGAGGAAGGAGAAGGACACCAGGGAGGAAGGAAAGGAAGGAAGGGGGAGGAGCGCCAGAGGTACTTACCTGGCTATGGTGGCAGCAGCTGGGGAGAGCTACACCAAGAAGCTTCGGGGCAGGCTCAGGCATGGCGGCCTGAGCTAGAGCAGCCATAGCTGCTTTGGGGTGTCCTTTGGGCATCTGAGCAGAGCCCAGTAGTCTGCCATAGCCTCGGCCTATGAGAGTGAAGAGTGGGAGAGGTGGCCATGGCTATGGTGGACCTTAAGTGAGACCTGCAATAGAAGAGGGACTCGGAAATTGATTCTGGATCAGTCATTCAACATTGTATTATTATTTCTTGTATGAATATGAGAAGGGGGAGATAAGGAGGAGGAGATTGTTGGGCGAACAAGAAGAGCCTTGTGACTGTCTTTGCTGGTGTACATCTTCTTCTTCTTTCTTACTTCTTCTTCTAATCCTCTCTCTCCTCTCAAGTTCATTCATTTCTTTCTGCAATTGGATGGCATTGTACTTTCCGATGGATGTGTATCTCGAAATTGGCCAGGGTCATAACAATAGAATAAAATTGTAAAGCAATCTTTTAATCTTTTTTGGGGATGACATTGTACTTTCCGATGGATGTGTATCTCGAAATTGGCCAGGGTCATAACACTATAGAATAAGATTGTAAAGCAATCTTTTAATATTTTTTGGAATCAGCCCTATTTGGTACCATTTTACGATAACCTGTCAAATCATTCTTTTTGACAATTCACAGGATAAAACCAACGCTTGACAACGCGAACTGAGACTCTCATGCAGGCGAAGTGAACTCCAATCCACGCAGAGTTACAGTTGGCAAGACTATAACTCGCACTGCATACTATTTGCAAGACTCTCCCATGTGTTGAATTGATGTACCCCACTCTTTGGGCCACATATTTCCTGGTTGCCCTTTCTTTCCTTTCCACGAACAGCTGTGTTCTGGAAAAAGGAAGGGATAATATAGGTTCTTCACAATGCCGTGCACATAAATGCACCCAAGGGGACGAGGAGAACACAGTGCTTGGAAAAAGGAAGGGATAATATAGGTTCTTCACAATGTCGTGCACATAAATGCACCCAAGGGGACAAGGAGAACACAGTGCTTCTGTAAACCGTGAATTTTCCAAGGAAGAAGAGAGAACCAAAAACAGTTCGGTTGGACGTACCCACTCAGCTGACACAGGTGCATGCAACACCAAACCAACTCGCTGACGAGGTAGTGGAATACAAACCCCAACCCACAGAAGAAGAGTGGAGTGGAACACCAAGCCATCCCGCAGAAGAGGGTATGGAACACCAGACCACCCCACCCCACCCCACCCCACCCCACCCCACAGAAGAAGTACTTGGAACATCAAATCACGATTGGAAAACACACCAAAAGCAGCAGCCCTCTCCGCACCACCCGACCAAACAAACTGACTCCAACAAAAATGAAACCAAACCACACCTTTTGGGGAGTGCTGTGGAGCAGCCAGCATCCGAAAGGCAACCTCACCTCTCGTGGGTCATGCTCCTATTCCTAAACCTGCTACATGTCTACCAGCATGACAAAGCTCACACAATTTGGTAAGCTGACTGGGTGACTAACGCTGACCGCTACGGAGCTGGTTCAGACCATTGGTCTGGACAGGCCGCCTACTAACACACATGTCACAACAATTGTTGTTATTTTGCTGTTAATTGAAGTCAAGAAAGTAGTCCATTTTCCTAACTTAAATTGCATTGCCCCCAACTTGGGGGCAACGATCACCAATGTCTCTTAATATACATGAGCATATATAATATACGTTGGCAAAAGAAAAGCCCCGAATTCGCAGTCCGGGGATGCACGCTGCGCATACTAATAATGATTAGAGTCTCCATCAGAGAAAGCGGTACTTAACCAGTGGGCTTGCCTACAAACAAGCGTGAATGTCATTCACACAAGGCAGATGGGCGACTTCTTTTCCACATTGATTTGATTCATTAGTGGATATAAGATGACACCAAAACAAACAAAACAAATACATATTTGATGATTATTAAAACAAACACTCTCAAAAAAAAAATAAAAAAAATTCGTGTTACTTCATGGGAATATAGTCTGCTAGAATTTCCTCTATTCCTACATGCATATGCCAAAAAAGTAGGATAYTTAACAAGATCAAAGTGGAAACATTTGCTAAAAGTATAGTTGGAATTAAAAAAGCAGCAGTAATCCGCTGAAGAAGCCAATGTGCCAATCTTTCTCAAACATCAAGCACAATTCTTTTCTCATTTGCACAGGGCCACAGGCCAATCTTTCGCGAGCTATCCAAACATACGGACTGCTAGTGTCTCCATGATATACCTGACAGCATCAATCAGACTGGAAAAGAGCAACCATTTTTTTTCTCTCAGGACATACTCACACCAGCACTTTCCTGGATGTATCTGACAGGCAATAGAGCACGACCTGGATGTATCCGACTCCAATTCTCCGACTCCGATTCCATACATCCAGAGCTCAGTTGAAAAGCCCCCGTGTGAACATGCTCACATTTGTCAAAGATCAAATTGTCTCACTCTATTTCAACCTTTATGTTGTGCTCAAGCCAGTTGCCAGCAAACCTGATATCAGACTTCAAGCACCAAAAGAAACCCATAATTACAATTAGCATGAATTCTGTTTGCAGCTAGGAATTTTTCCATGCCCGGCCGGGCACCGTGCCCCTCAGCCAAAAGTTGTTTGTATTCCAAAAAAAAAAAAAAAAAAAAAAAGGTTGTTTGTATTGCAATTCCACACAACATATTTTTCTCTGGAATATTTTGACTTCGGTGTTTTTTTTTTTGTTTTTTTTTTTTGCACTGGGGCTGCCCAGAACCCTGCCGGGGGGTCATGCCCGGCCGGGCACCCAGGCGTGTATCCGGGGACAACTTCGGTGCGCCGGGCACCTGGAAAAAAAACTACGTTTGCAGGTGCCATACTGTCCGATATGCTAATCATTATGTTGGCTGTGTATTGGCTGCCAGTCACTTGACATTGCTGCTCTGGCCAATCTCATTCAATTCACATTGTCTTCCAGTCACTTGCCCACTCAGGACAGTCCCATATTGTCTGAGACTGTCGCGATCAGTTCCTTAGGTGTCGCACTCTTCTGTATCTACAAAAAGAGCAAAAAACAACAACAGAAAACAGGAACTGACAAATCTCAGTTCCCCTTTCTTGTGTTTTTGTTTTTTGCTCTTTTTGGTGTTTTTGTTTTTTGCTCTTTTTGTAGATACAGAAGAGTGCAACACCTAAGGAACTGATCTTTTTCAAGTACAGTCGTACAGATTTTTATTTCCGTCCAATTGGGCATGAGGCCTCAAAAAGGTGGTCTGGGACATCAGTCGTGACCTTAAGGTAGCAGCATTACACTCCTGCTAGTTTTTTTTTTCCATTCCCCATCCCACAACAAATCTTTAAGGGGACGTAGGTGACCATTGACCAGCCATGCGACCCCTTCATTTTTTTTTTAGTGAATATTTTCCCCGTGCGCTGCACATGCCGTGTGCCGCACCGTGCGGGTCCGCTCATCTGCCAAACGTACAAAATTTTCCACACGGCCTCCGCTTGCATGTATGATGCACAGTCAATGCACCCTTCACGAGTCAGCATTCAGAAAGGCACGACACTCAACTCACAGGACTCCACTCAAGGCAAAGGAAGATCGCAAAGACACATACAATAGCAAAGATTCCCAGAAGAAAAATGAATCAGAAATTTGACAGCAAACCAATTGTTTGAAACATCATGGTCATGTAATTTGAACCCGTGTGTACACTGCACCAGCAACTAATCTTCTTTGGTAATCGGCAAAGGCCTGGGACAGAAAGCAAAGCATCGAGCGGATACTGTCAGCTATGGATAGTCTAGGACCCAAAATATGATTGTTCACAGTCCACATAGTGAAAAGCAGCGGGCTACCGTCAAGAATGCTTGATGAATCATAACCTGCTGTGACCACTGGAGATCCTACTAAACAGCGCCCCCTGCCATAATTCCCCTCTCGTCACGCTCCAATTGCCTTCCACTCTCCACCACCACAGCAGCAGTGCTTACCTACAGCAGTCACGCCCTGCTCCCTACAGGATTATCCAGAAAATTCCTCAAAACAAAAAAAAAAAGACATGGTGAGAAAGCTTAGCATACAGCACACAAGAAACTAAGAGTCATTCACTCCTTAGCTCCCTACTGGCAAATAAGCATAAAAGGACCTACGCACAAGTATTAAGAAGTTGAAAACCTATCATACACAAATTCTATCGATTCATACGAAGTCAAGAAAACAAGCGAACCAATAATGAAAGGAGGGAAAAAGTGCAACAAAAACGTGTGCATCAATCATGTTGAATGCAGCAGCATTTGAGCCACATCAGCCACATCCCTCTTCCTTCCTTTTTTCCCTTTTTTTTTTGGACCGTTCCTCAATTTATGCATGTCATCCTTGTGCAGGGGCACATCCCTCTTCCTTTCCAAATCGACACAAAGCAATGCCACCCAGGGCTTCAATCGTGGTACTCTCCATCACACTACTGACATCAACAAGCCCTTCCTGGTAGGCAGATCGAGCAGACAGAAGCCAGATGCAAACGACCAGAATCAGTTTCGCCGCAACTTTCACAGCAACTCGCCACAACTTTCACAGCAACTTTTGCCACTTCGCCGGCATGTGCAGTATAAGATTTTACCACTGCCGATGTGACATTGAAGACGCACTCCAAATCCAAAAGTTCATGCACAGCATGCTTATCTGTTCCATCAGCGCAAATACATTCGAACTTCCAAGAGCTTAAATATCCTCCCCTCCGTCCAGGACATCTAATCAACAAGGGTGGTGCCACAATTCTGGTGCTGCATAAATCACAGAACAACATTGCCTTGAAAGTAACAAGAAAACTCGCCACTGATGGAAGCAGATCAAGAAATCCCGGAGAGAAGACCCATAGATTGTAGTTGGAACAGCTTGATTGCCAAGCCGATGGAAATAAAGCACTGGCTTAGGAGAATGCTTGTCAAAGCTCTAGCAGCAAAGCATAGCAGAACAAGCAACTGACACTACTTTTCAGGAGGCTGATCCAGCTGGTGCAAAGCCGACGGAAATAAAGCACTGGCTTCAAAGAATGCTCGCTACAGTGTGGGACCTCATCAGCAACAGAGTAAAGAGGAACAGACAACGGCTGCTGTTTTTCAGGAGGCTGCTTCAGCATGTCAACCATTCTCTCTCTCTCTCTCTCTCTCTCTCTCTCTCTCTCTCATATTACTGCTTGCAAGTTGCCACAGGTCCGATATCTAGTTTCCCTTTATATGTTCAGCATCTTTGTGCCGCTTTCATATTCTCTCTCTCTCTCTCCCTCTCTCCAATCTCTCCCACACTCCTGCTTGCCAGTATGTTATCACAGCTCCAGCTACTGGGTGCTGCTTCATATCTGATGGAGGCATCCAATACTAAATGGTGCTCTCTCTCTCTCTCTCTCTCTCTCTCTCTCTCTCTCTCTCTCTCTCTCTCTCCCCACACACACATACACAGTATTACACACACATCTCCAACACTCTTAATTGCCAGTATATTATCACAGCTCCAGCTACTGGGTGCTGCTTCATATCTGATGGAGACACCCAATGCTAACTGAATGGTGGATACATGATTCAGCACCTCAGAATGGTAACTGAATAGTGGGTATATGATTCAGCACCTCAAATCTCTGAGGCTCAGCAATCTATCACGACAAGGTGAACGCCAACCCTAACTGGGGTACTGCCCTTCAGACTACAAGCTACCCACACGACCCAAACACCTGAATAATAAAAATGAAGCGAAACAAACAACTACACCTTAACACTGAGGATATTCGTTGGCAAGCAATCAAGTTCCTGCCCGTCAGTTTCTCCCTTCACACTGTATGAGAAGTCATCACAGCGACAATGAAAGAATACAAAGCCCAGGGCATTCCTGAAAGGAAGGAGCGAACAAACATACCCGTTGTCCACGCATCTCAATGTCAACCGACGACGCCAACCACACTACACCCATGTGATACTCTCTAGTATCTACACAGAAAGAAGCTGATAAAGCTAGTAGAAGATCTTGAATCTTGATACATTACAACCATACCATGTGGCAATTGCTATACAGAAAAGAAAAGGAGGCTAGTAACAGATCTTGACCGTCCAAACGTGCCCATCAACAGGTTTCCCAAGCTCAAGAGACAGGCGATGATCATCGTCCGAGTACGAATAACTGGTTGAATTGTTATCGATCATGCATGCCTTGGGTGTTTCAGAGGAGTACGCAACAAATCGGCCGCAACCACGTACTGCCATTGTTACACTCTCAGACGACACGGAAGCATCATTAGCTCTGGTCGCATGCACTTGGTGCTGCCCCTCATGGCTGCACTCCCCCTCTGAATCTGCCGAATACTTCATGAACAGAATGGCACCTCCTGAGTTGAACATGTCCACCAACCCTATCGGCGCAAAAAACACACCTGGGGCAACAGCCTGCACGCAAAATAGACACATCGAAGTGGTAGACTCACAAATATAGCATCAGTGTCAACATTACACCTGGGGCAACAGCCTGCACGCAAAATAGACACATCAAAGTGGTAGACTGACAAATATAGCATAAGTGTCAACATTCGGAATCCATAGGAACCAATCCCACACCAACTTCATCTGGCCCATCCCATTAAAACAACCCCCCGCCCCTGCAATGCCGAAACATGGTCAGCATATCAGATGATCACACACAAGCAGACGGGCAGAAGAGCAAACAGCAGGCTTCATAACACTCAGAGAAGAGAGTGCATAACTGAGCTACAGGCTCAAAAATATAGACAGGTAGACAGACCCACAAGTATAGCATGAGCATCACACATTTGCTACCGTAGGATGCAATCTCACACTAACTTTATCTGGCCCATGATGTTCGAAGATGACAACACAGGCTATTACAAGCAAAAAAAAAAAAAAAAAAAAGGCTGCGACCCCGGCCACAATAGGAACAAGAGACCTGGTGAGCATATCAGCTGATCACACATCAGCCGAAGAGCAGAAGGCTTTCATAACACTCAGGAGAGACAGAGCACAAATGAGCTACAGGCTCGTTAACCCTACCTTAGTTGGCGCAACTGTGAAGACCTCGAATTCAAGCACGGCCAAACTGACTGGCACACTCTGCCCCCGAGGAAGCAGGATCAGTTCCCCTGCAATAAAAGTGCAGTCACAAGTGCATCATCAGCACAAGAGAAAGAGAGCACATGATTAGAACAAATTGAACTTTTTCTGCCCCCAAATCGAAGTTCTCAAAACACGAACTTGTTCACAAACAATAAAGCAAGACTACATTGCACATGGTTGGTTCTCGACAAACATGTGATAGTGACTTTTTTTTTTTTTTCCTAATCCAATTTCTGAACGGAACAAATGCCACAGTCCCTCCTGAATCACCCACACTAATCAGCAAGTCAATTCAAACCAACCATGCACATTGGTGATACAGCCCCGCTTCAGCTTCCCTTCCCCACCCCACGCACGGCCTAACTTCAGGCTTAGAAAACGTTTCAAAAACAGTGGCACTGCAATCGCTCATTGATTTAACCTCAAACTCATCAGCACTCGGCTTGAGGAAACCATACAGAGATTGCAGCCAATTTCTGAGGGAATTTCCTATTTTCAGTTAGGGAGGAACCACACGGGGAAGTGAAGATGGGCAGAAAAGAGGTTACAGAGGAATTTGGGTGGTACGTGTGCAAGTCAGTGCTCTGAGCCTGTCTCCATACACACTACTGCTCAAAATTTGCAGCACAAAACAACGAAATGATGCCAGGGCATGGAGGCAAGGTAGCGGCGAGGAGGGGGAAGGGGAAGGGGTGCAACCGTCCAACAAATCAACATATGTCTTTCCCAGCAGTGTTACATTCAAACACAATGACAAGTTGACGCTTGAAAGCCCACCTGACCCAATTGTAAAGAATGTATGTGTTCAATACAGTGCAAGACATCATCTGCCATTGGTTCTACATTAATCAAATCAGTTCGCACATGCTCTTCATTAACGAGGCCACATATAGACAGAATACCTCCACGGTGGGAATATACAGCAGTATCGCCATTCCACCCATCGTCTGCTACCAGGGCTCCGAGGCTGTCCACATCAGCTGCCTTGACATGACCTGACACATGCCCGGGCGTCGGGTCATGGATTACGTACTTCATCCCAGTCCTGCACCAGCCAGATCCCTGTTAACCAGGACACCACGACAAATGCAAGTCGTATCAGCGGTTAAACAGAGACCCATAGCAAGTCAACAACAGCGCCTCAAACACACCTGAACTGAATCCATCAAAATGCGGATGTGCAAAAAAGGAGAAAAAGGGATGTATGTTTTACTGAAGTATTACAAAATACTAAAATGAGAAATAAAACGGAATGAACTGGGTTTCTAGCACGTATAACCATAATGCCAGAAACTAAAGCGATGCTTGAAAAAATAGAAAAAAGTATCCTTGTAGTGATTAATCTTTCTCTAGCTAGCTGTCAAATCCTCACGATTGAAAGCAGGAAAACCAACTAGCATATGCCCACAACTAGCAACACGGCAAGACTCATTCAGGCAATAAAGGCAAGTCTCTGCTAAACTGAATGTCCCCTACAAAGTGGCATCCTGGCTCAGGGGCTATAAATTGAACAGCGGGCAAGAACATCTCAAGAATGCAGACGCTAGCCCAGGCTCATACTGTGTTTCTCAATATCTTCACAATATTGTTCTCGCCCCTCGCACATGACCAAGGACAAACTACAACTTCCATGTCCTTCTGCATGGCATTTCTCTATGCAACTTTTTACCACCATTACTTTTTGCACTGGCATTTGCTTGTATACCATGGAATCCTACCGGCTTCGTTTTGCACCGTGCTCCCATCTCCCATCTTCCTAGCTTCATCATCTGTCACCTACTTGTGCTCTGACATTCGAACGCACGGCAACTGCCATGTCCTTCTGCATGGCATTTCTCTATACAACTTTTACCACCGCTGCGTTCTGCACTGCACTGGCATTTGCTCGTACAACATGGAATCCTACCGGCTTCACTTTGCAACGTGCTCCCATCTCCCATCTTCCTAGCTTCATCATCTTTGACCTAATCATACTCTGACATTTGTTTGAACTTTGAAAACAATACAATTTCACCAGAAACATACCCGCACCTCAGACAAATGCCAGCACTTCTATTGACCTCACCTTTTAGCCCTCTGGTACACATGACAAAGTACTGATCAATGAGATTATAAGGTGGGAAACATCGCAGTATATAATATATACTGCAAACAGTGCAAAGTAGTCGTTTGCATGTAATCAAAGATGCACACCTGGCAATTGAAGGCGCCCACAACCCCACCCGCAACATTCACGTTCCAGATCTTCAGCAGACTGCATGTTTTGTGCACAAACATAAACGAAGCCAAGACCACACACCATGTTGGAAGCTGCACACCTCAACCGATAGCTTTTTGCCTCTCCCCTTCACCCTACCCCCAAAGTTCCCCCAAACACATGCCAACCACAATCGAGAAAAGATTTAAAAAAAAAAAGAACATTTGAAAAAGATTGTCTGGGTTGGTATATATAAAAATTTCCTTTTTTTATATTTTATATTCGTTAATCCATTTTGGTAAAGTAGCTATCAAAGATTTGAAAAACAATTGATTGTGCACAAGCTGCACTCCTTTTTTAACCCACCTTCTTTACAGGGTTGCTTTTTCCCGAGTTCAAAAGCAAGAATTGGTCGGCACACCCACCTTCTCCCACACGACGTATTGGTCCCCTGCTGGTTAATTTGAAGTTGGAACTCGTTTTTTGAGGGATTGAGAGCTCCATCTTCTAAATAGCATAAATTGGGTAAACATTGCAGTTTCTCTATGATCAAACAACCTAAAGCCCACCCGTACAAAGAGCAGCAACAGAGACTACGGTACAACACATGACATGACCGCAGTTACCATTTCGTGGCATGTACCCTCGTGTCATGAGACCATACTGAAGTACCGTTTTCAATACTTTTTATCCCCTCAGAACAGACGTTCAATACGAAAAGCCCTGGGAAAAAGGAAGCCTCGAAATCCTTGCCAAGGCATACTTCAAAAAAAAAAAACTTCGTTCAGCATTTGAAGGAGAGAGAGAAGGAAAACCAGACCAGCCATTTGAAGGAGAAAGGCACAGGGAAAACCAGACCTGCCAGACCAAATCAAACAACACCAGACCAAGCGAACAAACACCCAGAGGTCCTTGGGCGATGCAACTCCCGAGAGTCGCCATCACATTACTGTGCAACCTCAGAAGTGTAGGGCACAAACCCGAGAGTCACCACACCGGAGAGAAACAACTTCAAATAACAACACAATGCACCAGGGAAATCAAAATCAACCAGGGTAGTCGGAAATCAACCGATCCAACAAATAGAAAACAAGACTCAGTCAATGCACTGATCAACAGTTAAGATTGCAAGGAGGGCAGCACACGACGGAAGGTCCCTCCTTTTGCCCGCACACAATCGTGGGGAGAAGCCCACGGACGATGGAGGTCAAGAGAGAAGGGCAAAGACAACAAAGAAGGCTTAGGTATGATCAGCCAAAATGATAATAATCACTCCTCCAATCTCGCCAACCCCAAAATACAATCTGAACCGGGAGGTTACCCTAAGATACTGTTAAACCACCAGTACACCCGGGCCCGGAGGCGTTGCACTGCACGCCAAGCTTTTCCAAACCGCCAGTGGCATACATTTTTTCTCCACAAGGTTGGGACCATGTACTGGCAGTTTACAGAGACCCTAGGTCTGGAGCCAACAGGTTCCACAACTTGTCATAGAATTCAAATGGAACTTATGGAAGGCCATATGGGCCTCGACACCTACCCTTGGCCACGTTCTTCATTGTACCTCCAGCTAGGGTGATTGGTTGCTCCGATTGGTTGCTCCGATTGGTTGCTCCAATCTCTTTTCCTCCCATGAGGTGATGACACGGTGGGTCAAGGCCCAGAGGATGGCTCTGATGGGTCTTCTCTGACATGAGAATGTCTCTCGTAAAAGATGCGGACATACTCACATATTGATTCAGAAGTGCAGGCTTTGGGGATGTTATTGTCAAAGGGATGAAAAGATGCGGACATACTCACATATTGATTCAGAAGTGCAAGCTTTGGGCATGCTATTGTCAAAGGGATGGACCAACTCCTCCATCCGTCTTCTTGTACTGTTGTTCATTTTGTCTTTGTATAGTATGTTGCCATTTTGTTGTCCGAACTTCGCCAATGCCGATCTGAGAAATGGAGAAATTCCACTTTTTTTTTTTTTGTTCTAACACTGTAACACAGACTAACAGAACAAGAAAACGGACATTTTGTCTTTGTATAGTATGTTGCCATTTTGCTGATCTGAGAAATGGAGAATTCTGAATTTCCAAATTTCCACTTTCTTTCTCTTCTTTCTTTTCTTTTAGATATCATCATTGATGATTGAACTGATCGGCCCCAGGCAATTCAGAATGATTTCATTTCTTCATCTGAAGGCATCTGGATTCGAACTCCAGCCATTATCAAATATTTCAACAGTTCAGGGATGTACCAACTGAGCTAGGCCCATTGGTGAGAGAGATACTTTTTTTTTTTCTTTTTCTTTTTTTTGATAAAACCTTTCCATTCTGGGGAGCATCAGTCCGGTTCCTATTCCCCCGGCGAGTCAAAATTGAATACAACATGAAAACACACACACACTTCCTTCCATATGGCCGAAGGACCCCTGATCAGCATTGATTGCTCCCCTGGAGGAGGATTTGACTGTCAGCTTCCGCTCCTAGTTGTGTATCCGAGTCTCTCCTCTCCCACTCATCCGACTCTCTGCTGTTACTCAACCAGATATTGCCTCTTCCTGAGCCTCTTGGCTTGGCAAGACCTCATTCCTGGGCCTGATACCACTTCTTCCATCTCAGCCTGTTATCTGTGAGGGTGGCGATCTTGCCCTTCAAGAGCCAGTCTCTCTGGAATGTGTGTCTCTTGCTTGCTCGACCTTCTGGTCTGTTTGCTCTGGAATGTGCGTCTCTTGCTTGCTCGACCTTCTGGTCTGTTTGATGGCAGCCGCTATCTTTGGCCATCTGCTTCGGATTTCAGTCTCCGCCATACTCAGCAGTAGAGACCACATTTCTTCTCGTGCCAACCCTGCTCCCTCAATTGTCACCGTGCATCTGCGTTTCCATATGACCCAAAGTGCCACTTCCCTGAGCAGATTGAACCAGACTTCCCTGCTGCCCTTGACGTTACTGGGGGTGTTAGTGAAGAGTAGGATAGGGGGATATTTGGAGGTGGTATTGCGAAGAGGATCGACCTAAGTTCCAGAACTTTGTTCCAAGAGAAAGAAGTGGGGTATTTCTTTGGGTACATTGTTGTTACACAGCATGCAGGATGCTGAGCTGTCTGGGTCTGAGTGTTTCCTTCTCTCGTGGAGCGATTGGTTGACCGGGAGGGCTGCTTGAGCTATGAGCCACTGCATACTACTGATTCTGATCGGTCTAATGAGAAGATATTTGGTCCATGGGATGACGAGGGAGGTCTCGGGGTCTAAGCGGAGGATGTTTCTCCACTTCATGACCAGCCTGGGGTTCGGATCTGTGGTCGGCAGTCCGAGGTCGTCGTACCCCAACTTTACATATCCACTCCTCTGGGTCGAATTCAAGCTCCTCGATTCTAGGGTCTCATAGTGACCTTAGTTCCAACTATAAACGCATAGAGAAACAACCAACCACAAAGTTTGACTTCTTGTAGCAAGATTTAGACAGTTAATGGGCATTTAACACTGCGCAGAGTAGAATCCCGTGTGTGGTGTTTTCTCAAGGAAAAACAAAAGACAAAAAAGGAAAAGGGCAGTTCGCCGGCACCAACTAGTGAGCACTTGTGGGACGAACCTGCATCCATCTCTTAGTGGGTCAACAAACAGGCAATCCCGAGTTGGGCGCCCCGGAAGTCTTGCACGCAGTATTCTACCATCAGGCAAAACCAGCTTCCTCAGAACTCCGAAATCGTGGTTGCCAGGCTTGTCACTGCACACCACACAACCCCAGCCAAACGAGCCAGCCATATCCAAACAGCAGAGGACAATGCAGAGAGATAACACTGCCATATGAGCTCCACTCAGAGATGATCAATCGACAGGAAACCAGGAAAGGGAAAGAAATGCCGATTGGTAGGTGTGGCATAGTATTGCAATTTGGGCATGCGGACTGCTCGGAGCAAACAAACATTGACTGAAGGCGGAATTTCAGGTACCTGCAAGTGGGGAGACAAAGACATAGCAATGTTCTTGGACAAGGAAATAAGGGACTAGAGGGATGCACTTTAGCTATTTGCCGTCTTCCACCCTTTCAGGATAGAGGGTGGCTGGCATTTCAGGTACCTGCAAGTGAGGAGACGATGTCGCAGCAACGAAAGAGAATGCACAAGCAAGGGAGGGTAACTGAAAATCGGCCCTCGATTCTGAAGGGTGGAAGGCAGCAAATAGCTAGCAAACAAGCAGAGAGATCACGAACGCCCAATCTATGCGATAGCCCAATGCTAAACAATTCCTTCTTTGAACAGGGGAAAAATAAAAAAATACACATGCTGCATGTCCTCGACATGACCCGGTGGCACAAGATCATTAGTTTCCGTGTGCAGCTCTCCACAGCAGAATAATCCAAAACTGGGAAGAGAGAAGGCGATGAAAAAAGAGCCTTGCAGCTGGAAGTTAACCATTACCCCAATCCAAAAAAAACTGGGAAAAGAGATGGTGATGAAAAAAGGGCACTGTGGCTAGAAGGGAAGCAGCTCAACATTACCAAGTACTACGAGTAGTGAATTGGATCACACAAGGATCGGACAGATAAAAGCCGGTTGCTGATCATTACCTCACATACACGGCACATCCTCCAATGGCTCGAGCAGCAGCATGAAACTCTGCAGCTGGATGATGACTCTGTTCAAAACGAAAAAGAAGTCGACTCAGCTCAGTTTTTCCCCAAGAGATATTGTTGCTTAGTTGGTAGAGTGCCTCACTTACACCGAGAGGGCCAGCGGTGCCTCACTAAGGCTCACTTACACCAAGAGGCCCAGCAGTGCCTCGCTTACACCAGAGGCCCAGCGGTTCAAGTCCGTCACCCAGATGGGAAAATACTAAAATACTTGGTTAGAGACTTGAGCGCTGGTCTGTAACAACAGAAGTCAAGGTTCAAATCCCATTTTCTTTTTTCCCTGAGGTATGGCTAAATCAAATACAACAAGATTGTATCATGGGTTCAAACTTCAAATCCCATTTCCTAAATTTGATTCTACGGTACTGCATAAATATTGTAGCCATCTTTTGAGAGGAAAAAAACAATCAAACAAACAGTTGGAGCATACCCCGAAGAGAACCCATCTATTTACAGAGAAAGTTCTGCGTTCACTCAGTATTCCCTAGCACCCTCACATTCTACTTTTCATGCTGATTGTCCTCAGATACAGCATCTTTCCATATTGTCTTTGACATCGCTGTATATATTTGGCATCTGAGAATCCTCTTTTATTCTTTGCCAAAAGACAGATGCCTTGAACCACCAGTACACAGCCCCAGCCTTGCTGAAAATGCAACTCGTCACCTACAAAAATTTCAGAGGCTCGGCCTACCGAACCACAACGGCTGGCAGCGCCAGCCCAAAAAGAAGGAAAGTGCGCCGGCTGGCGGTTCAGAAAAGTTTGGTGCACAGTAAGGCGCCTCCAGGCCCAGGTGTGTACTGGTGATTTAAACCACCAGTGCATTCGGACCTGGAGGCGCTCCATTGTGTGCCAAGCTTTCCCAAACTGCCAGCAGCGCACTTTTTCCTTTTCGTGTTCACGCCATCGTCCATTGTGGTTCGGTGGGCCCGAGCCATGAAATTGTCTTCTGCAAGGCTGCGGCCATGTGCTGGTGGTTTAACCCTGTCCCTTAGCCCACCTCTAGGGAGTCCCATCATGCAGAGTCATTCCTCATATAGTTGCCAAGCATATGGTCTCTGAAGACCCTATTTCTCAGAACCCTCATTGTGTCAAACATAAAACAAGGCAATCCTATCATGCAGAGTCATTCCTTATGTCGTTGCTAAGCATATGGTCTCTGAAGACCCTATTGCTCACAATTCTCGTTGTGTCAAACATCAAAAAGCATTCCAAACAAGACAAACCATGTAACTGGTGGGCCAAGCACTGCAGAAATTGCCATCAAATGCTGCCTCACTCAAAGAGGCGTATGGTTGGCCCATCTCGCAGTGGTGACACAAAAGCTGTGCCACCTTCACCATGAAGCTAAGCAGGGACAGGAAACAAGGGGACAAACTTACATGAAACATGTCCCAGTCTGGCTGCATGAACTCTCCCAGGAAGAGACTGTTGTATGCAACCTGGCAAAAAAACACAACCGAACACCTCACTGATACATTAGCACCAAAATAAGGCCACAAGGCCAAAGACTGGGCGACAACAACCGTACCACGATCATGTTAGCAAGCCAAGGAGCTGGCAGAAGAAGCACCGAAGTAGCTGCATATTCTGCATGTCCTCTAAAAGGAGAATCACCACCACTTAGGCCGGACATGCCAAACCATGCAAGCATGTCAGGCCAGTCAGAGAGATATCAGTGTAAACCATTGCAATGAGAGCAGAAGTAAAATGAACACTTGTCACACAGTAAAATGGGGCCAAAACGGAAACAAACAAACTAACTCCAAAGCCTGACATTTGAACCACACCCAGCAAAGAAACGGCTCAGGGGAACAAACCGCATGGGGATTGTAGATATGAGCATAATGAAAGACGGCCAGGACAGTGATTGCCAAGTAGGTTATAACCTGGAGGGAAAACTTCAAAACGAACAAACAGTACACATTCGGACAGATCGCATTTCATTAACTGCAAAGCCAACAATAATAGCATAACATTCAGGTAGATCACGTTTCATTCACATGAAAAGATGAGAGAGAAAAACACATCATCCAATCTTTCTGGCACATGCCATGTTAAAGCAAACAAGCGATGGGATGGCTTCCCAAGCAGGGATGGTTGCATACGGTACACCACAAGTGAGTCCCCGCATGGGCCTACAGCAAAAGTGGGATAGCTCCGCAGAGGGAATGATAAGACAAGGTGCACCACAGGTGAGCCCATGCAGCAAAGCGGACACCTAACTGGATTATGTATAAAGATGTGTTTGGAGCTTGGAATCGGGATTGAGGGGAAGAGGGGGTAGGCAAGCATAGCCAATCAAACCACAAGGCCTTCAAAAGGTAGCAAGAATCTAAATTGAAGCAAACACTGCAAACCTCGACCGAGCAAAGAAGATGAACCACCGAGACTCCACAGCATGGGGGCATTTTCTTCGGAACAAAAAGCTTCAAACTTAGACTGAGAAAATAAGACGAACAACCAAAATTCCACAACATGGGGGTATTTTAATACTTTCTTTGGAACATCCGAAATCCCACACATAAGCACAGACAATCAGCGTGAAAGGAAGTCACAGGCAAAGTGCACAGCATTACTAACTCGGACATTTCTGAGAGAGTAAGAGGGCCTGGCAGAGAGGCAGATCACAAGAAGTGCACTGTATAATATCATGATAAGCTATAAAATTTTTAAAAATGCCTAACCCCCTCACTGGACAACCAAATAATCATAAAAATTGATACCAGTGTCCAGAAAAATTTGTATTTCTCTCAGTTCCCGAACAGGTGGTAATGGGCCTCGCTCCACCACTCTCAACTTCAGTGATTTTCAGGAGTGAGGCTCCAGTCCACCTACTCTCAATTTGCAACCCCAAAAAATTGATTGAGCGCCGTCAGAAGATTTTCATTCAAGCGGAATCGAAAATCAAGTCCTCGGCCTGCATGCCCTTGAAAGTTGACGGAACTCGGCAGGACAACTTGGTCAGCCTCCAACTCCAAGAGTTGGCCACATGTTGGCACCCAGCTGTTAAGTTCTTTTTGTGCTCATCATGTGCTCAGAAAATACAAAAAAGAAAAAAAAAATGCAGAGAGCGAAAAAATCAAGAGTAGCCAAAGTGACAATACACAAACACGTTTCAACTTGAGAGTGGTGGGGCAGGACCCAATGTCATTCTCAAAAACTCGCATACACAACCATTCCAGGTTAGCGGTTCGAATCCCTTTATTCTCCTAGAGAAGATTTGTACTCGTTAGCCCTGACAACTGAAAGGGACGCTCACAACAGCCAAAGCCAACACAGAGGGGGGCATGACTTCAATGACACAGCCGCTCTGGTGAACAGGAAGGAAAAGACGTAGTGCAGGGTAGTGGTAGGCAAGGAAAGGGTATTACAGAGCATATGTGGACAGTATGTGCTGCTGGATCGGATGGCCAGAAATCATCCGAAGCTCTCACTACAGCAGTTTGCTTTGCACTGCACCCACAGACAGCAGATTAACGGAACACACCACCAACAAGAATCACGATCAATCCGTTTTACATGCAATAATCGCATATTCCATGCATTCAAGACCTGAAACAAGTACGCACCTCTCTACTGCCTTTTAGCCGGTACTGCATGCCAAAGCAAACACATTTAACAAATCCTCCAATAGACAGGTTCATTTGCACTGGAAGTACAATAGGCATTCATACATGTACAACTTCCAGATAAAATGTTGGGCCATTTACAGATGTGCAACACTCAGATCGAATGTTACTAAAAAAAAAACAGTGTACCAAACCACAGCTTCTTTTCTCATGTCCATGGACATTGGCTCATTCACAGGGATGGAACAATGAATTCTCTGCAATTGCTTGGAATATCTGAATCTAACAAACTTGTGGATCGGATGGAACAATCAATTCTCTGCAATTGCTTAGAATATCTGAATCTAACAAACTTGTGGATCAAGCTGAACATCAAATAGCTGAACCAGTTTCAGGTCGACAGGAAGCCAATCACTATGCGACTCAATGTTTGGTTGTGAATAATCCCGTACCATTGTTCCAGACTATTCTTGGTTGTAAACAGCCTGATCAGCCCACTTCCAGTTTACATCACCCATACCGGGCTACTTTTCATTGAGAAGCAGATTGCTTCTGCCTATAACTTCATTATGGCATGGCGGGGCGTCCCACACCATGCATGGGGTTCCAGACATCCCCTAGGCAGTCCCCTTCAACGGTCTAGGCCCTTTTTTCAGGCCCTCAACCCACCGAGAGAGCCTCAGCCATCATGAAGCCCCTAGCAGCACAATTGATCATTACGCCATGACTATCTCCAGTGCTGCACCAACCATCTCTCTCTCTCTCTCTCTCACACACACACACACACACACACACGCACGCACGCATGCACGCACACACACACACACACACAAGCGTTCCCAGCTTCACTCGAATTGGACCTCCCTGATCCAGTTCAGGTTTTGAGTTTGACTTCAGGCATTCCGATGCTAAAAAATACTGCAGTGTACTAACACCTCATCAAGAAGAACAACTTTATCAGCCCTTTGCATGCATCTGAAGGTTAACAAATTGAGAGGGGCCTAAAGTTTCAAAATAGTAACTTTCTATTCGAGGTGTCCTTTGACAAACTCGTCAGGAAACTTACATCAGGGCGGAACCCAACATAATGAATCAACTTTTGAAAATTTTGTCAAAATGTATTGGGACGGCTGTAAAGATAATCAGTTACGAGGCATACCTGTAGAGGCCATCTGTGTTATGGCTCATGCAGGCAATGCAGCCGTTATCAGGGAAATTTTGGCGGATAGACTCCTCCAGAGCTTTGTGATACATCTTTGTGATCTCAACACGTCCTCCAAACCCAGCCCCAAGGGTTTCCAGAATGTTCTGCACGTCCACTTTGACACCATCAACGCCAGAAGCTGCAAGGTAGGCATGCAACTGATTGAAGAAGTCAAACGCCTTCCCCGGATGCACAAGGCCCAGCCCATTGAGTGTCAAACTGTCCCCTGCCATATCTGGCTGGTTCACCAAGACTCCCGGAGAAGGGACTGGAAACTTCAATGAAGGGGTGTAGTGCTCCATCTCCACGGAGTTGGGGCAAACTCCTCCCCAATACCCGGTGAGAGCATGCCAAACATACACATACCTGCATAACACACCAAGCACACCAAACACACCAAACACCCGGTGAGAGCATGCCAAACGTACACATACCTGCATTTTCATCCACATCAAACACACCAAACACACCAACTACACCAACTACACCAACTACACCAAACAGGAAAATCTGATGTCACAAAAAAGAGCCATGTCACAAAAAAGAGCCAGTCAAGTCCAATACAGCAGGTGTAGCAATCAAGCCTCACAGAAGGCCAGAAAAGTACATGTGACTAGGCAAATGCATCTATCAAACTCGAAACCACAGCGAAGTCTACCAGGCAATAGTGACAAGGGCCCCACATGAAATTATCTTCAAAATGTCACATAAAGCAACAAACAGCTTGACAAATGTCAACCAATTGTGACAAGTTTTTCTCCCAGGGGATACCGACCTTCCACCATCAAAGTCCTCAACAGCAAACTGAAAGATGCACCACATCATTCTGTCTGGTCACAGAAACTAACCCATCGCAATTTGTTTCCATGTGATCCACCAGTGCATTCACTTCCACAACATCAATTCATCAGAGAGCTTCATTTTGCCATTCAGCTTCCTTTTGACATTCACAGACAATGCTTCACATATGACAGGCCAAACGGCTGACAACCATTGGATGAGACTCCGATGAGAACACTTAAAAAGTGCTAAAACCATCAGAGTACTTCCTAAAGTCGTGCCCGTTGACAAGCCAGGATTTTAGGAAACGTACGGGCCATTACAGGAGCACCCAAACTCATCTGACTAGAAACATTTCTACTCTATTTTTCCCCCCGGCCAATAGCCGGGCCAAGTACTGGTGGTTTAAGAAACCATTTTTGACCTTTTAAGCTGCAGTGTGAAAACATAAAGGCTGATGAGAACACTTGAAACCATCAGTA